GAAAAAGGTTGACTGGTTGGTGTTTTCAACCCACTTTGAACATATTGGTCAAAGGTCCAATCATCCCCCAAGTGGGTGGACAATAAAAATATCTGAAACCATCACCTAGTTGATAGGTCCAACCATCACAATGGATCACCCTCAGCCAGTCCTCCCAACTCAATGCATGCCATCCCCACCTTGATCGTTGAAGGCGGCCCTGGATGGTGGCAGCGGCCGCAGCAGCAGCAGCAGCCGCCACTGCTGCCGTTGGGCTGGGGGGTGAAAAAAGGGTCTGTGAGGTTAGTATGAACTATTGAACTATGTTGAATACAACCCAGGTATATATACCCGTGTTTGTATGTTTTGGTGATTATGGTGATTGGTTTCCCTGCTGCTCAATATCATGGAAACAAAGTTAATCTCTATTTTTCAGGAAGCTACACGAACTTTTGGTACCACTGGGCATGCTAGCATCCAAATCGCATCCTTTCGTTAAAGTGTTTGTTCCGGGGTTTTGGATAGGCGTGGACCCCTTCAATCGTGCACTCCCGCGTGATAAACGTCGCCAGGAGGGATTCCGCGAAGGGAATGACATGGTGTGTGAAGCCTGCGGGGATGGCGACCATGCCTTTTTCAGCATGGTGGTGGTTGTGATCATTGGTGCCAGCGGCAGCAGTGGAGGGTCAGCGGCAGCTCGTTGACCTTTTGCCACGTCGACCCCTACAACATGCCTGAACGGGCGATGGGTGGGCAAATGGCGGTGAAGATTCTATATTATACATGATGCTAGTACTAATACCCTTGTTACTAGTAGTTTCTTGCTACTAGTAGCAATGCCCTTGTTACTAGCATCGTGTTTATTTCATGGTGCTTTGGTGATCATTTCGGGGTGATCATTTCTTGGCCGCCCCTGCACTGTGCTCCTCCCACCATGGCAACATGTCCTAAGGTGTTGTGGCAGCGTTGTACTTTGTGATGCTGAATGAGACCAAGTGGAGCTTTGGATGAGGTCTATTATGCCAAACGATATCTCAAATGATATCCCCATCGCCCTTTAAGCCAAACATCGAAACAGTCAACATTTGATAGAGTTTCGATGTCAATGATCATTTCTCCAGCCGAAGGGCGGTTTCAATTTGACCGGCGAGGGCTGCTCAGAGCATCCAACACCCTCAAACTGATCAAGCTCTGAGGCCGAAGCAAACAGACCTGCCCATGCAGAAGTGTTTATGCAGCTAGTAACACGAAGCTATTAGGTGCTCCTGGCATCGTTACTAGGAGCGATCGGACGCTACTAGGGGCTCCTGGCTGTACTGCTAGGCTACTAGGAGCAAGTATAGCTACTATAGTAACAAAAAACTATTAGTCAGTACTTCCATGGTTTTAGTGCAACACCGGAGCCGAACGTCGAACGTCGAACGCTTCACCGACCCTTTGTACACGTACACAAACTGGCTGGGCGGCAGTCCGTTCCTTCTTCGAACCCACCGGAAGGGGATCTTGGAACCGAGAGGAGAACCACTGGGCCTTGAGATCCAGCGATTCGGCCGATCCAAAACCGGCGGCCTCCTCCGCCAAGCCGGAGCCAAGGAAACAGACCGCTTCCAGTTTGGTGGCCTGGAGTTACTTATTTGGAGATTCCATACTTGATGTAATTTGTACAACACGATGCTTTCTTGTTTCTTCCATTTATTTTTGTGTTCACTTTTGTATGCTGATGATGATTGTCATTGCTGAATCCCCTTGGGGCCATACATGGGTCTTCGCAGAGGTCACGGATATGGAGAATCTGGGAGTGGTGTAGCGCTTTACATCCGTCGTCCATGGATGTCTTACCGTCGGTGCTCATCCGAAAAAAAGAGGCTTTAGGTGGCGGTCTCCAACCTACTTGCGATGGCCTCCAGGTGATGGCTGCCGGATGCCAACAGTTAATCAGCATCGTCCAGATGCTCACCGTGGTGAAACGCTTCGACATCGAGACCTGGATGGCACCAAGCGGCGTGTTCTGAGGCCATGCAGACCGAAAACGATGGCACCGTATAGACCAAAAGGTACCGAAATAAAGTATCTCCATGTTAGTGACCCCTTCCGTGGATGGCAGGAGGCCCCTGATCTCATTGTTAGCGGATGAAAGCCGTAGAAGACCTAGATATTTCATGATGTTTCCATATATTTTCAGACCTCCTCATTCTGGAACAACAACACGAGCAGTGCTATGCCATGCACCGTGCTATGCCGAGGGTTGGCGCGAGCCGCTTGAGAGTGTGTTGTTTTCCGTGGAAGTCCTGAGCTTCGACGTGGATATGCTCTCGGCCCCTTGATTTAAGATGACCCGTCGTGGGCACTGCCGGTGATCCAACCGCGGTGTCTTGTTTTGCCAAGATCGTGTGACACTCCGCCCACAACACGACGGTCGCATCGACCGGGTGCCTGTCGCGACGGAAAAAACGGGCCGTTCGGACGTCCAAAAGATCTGAGTGTCCTTCTCCATGACCACAGCATGCGAACAACTTCGACGCAAAACCATGCCCACGGACCCACGTAACATGTGCTTCCACATGTTTCCACCACACGGTGATTACAAAAATACGACTGTTCGTGGTGAGATGCGGCTGGAGGCAACGGCTTGAGGCAAGTGACCAGTAGCCTTTGATATCCTCAACAGAGTAAGGAGAGCACAGCACAAATAGACGATGTTCAGACATGGGGACAGACCAAGTGACCAGTGACCAGTAGTTCAGTACACCAAGTGACTATACTTGTACACCAAGTGGCCAGTAGTTCAGACATCGGGATCTTTGGTGTTTTTCGGGAATCCGATGTCGTCGGGATCCGCATGATGGCGTCCGCTTCCCATGTTGCTGAGTCGAAGATCGGCTGCGCAGAAATACCATGGGGGTGACACGACAAACAATAGAGCCAAGATCAGCTTATATTTCTTGTATATTATTTACATATATACATATACGATACTGATTATGTTTATTTATAGAATATTGCCAAGATCGGAACAGAGTGGTAGGAATCACGAGCGACGAAATGTCTTGGCGACACCGTTTTGGACGTGTGTGACTTGAGCCACCACAGTGGCGGTTAACCTGGATCGTTGATTCCATGGGTGATTTGGGTTCACACCCGTCTAACTTTCTCGTGGTACCTTTCCAACGCCTTTCATTGAGGTGCAGCACCTTCTGCAGAAATTGCCAGCTTTCCACAGGACATGATGTGCCGAAGATATGTGAGGATGCGGTCCTGTGTAAGGGAGTTTGCCAGCATGGCCGGAGTATGGATTCAACGAGTTACGCCACACTGATTCCAGAACTCATCTCCCCACACAGAGTCATGTCAATGGCAGCGACTCTTGTCGAACTGAGCAGGGCGGCGGCATCAAGGGTTTGTCGAGAACTTCACGGAGCGAACAGGTTCCTGGTCCGTGATGTCATCCGCACTTGAAGACGGTCCCAGTTGATGGAGCCAACTCCATTCATGAAGGCTTGTGATTCAGCTCTAAGTGTACACACCACTGGGATCCAGCTCTCGTTTAACCGGTAGCTTCGCCATGCAGCCAATGTCAGCTGGCCTCCGAGAGAAGGTCCAAGCCTTGTTGCCCAAGTTCATCGCGACTTGGTGATTGGTGATGGTGGACTGGCATCACCCTTTTTCAATGCTTCGAGTAGTCTCGGAGAGCCATGGTTAAGCCATGAGGTGTTTGTGCTTGTCCATATAACACAACACCGGTTCAACATGTCAAAACATTTGCTGTAATGTTGTCCTCGGGTTTAAGAGTGGACGCGAATGGACGCCCTAGAATAACTCTGCAACCTGCCCGGTCAGCGCGGGTTTCCTTGGAAGGAAAGCCAGGACAAGGTTATCGAGGAGTATCTATTATATGAAAGTATATAGGAGGTAAAGGGCGCTCCGCTGCTTTGATTGTACATCGTGCAACTCTCTGGTGGTCTCTTCCGATCGGTCAGGATCCGGATCTTTTCGGTGACGACGCGGACAGGACACGGTCAGTCTGGCACCCTTCAGAGGTCTAGCTGCCACTCACTTTATCAGTCGCTATAGAAGGTACAAAATCCAAGAATCGTCTGAACTCAGTGCATGGTGTCTACTATGGAAGTTCCAGCCTGGGCCGATTTGGCATTCGGTCTGTGGCCTACGAGCTGGCGGAGCAGCCCCATGCACCAGAGAAGTCACTGATCAGAACCGTGGATGCTGCTTCACAACCCAGTTGAGCTTGCTGCAGTTGCAACATGTCACTACCCCGAAGGAGAGGGCAGACAAACCAACGGTTATATTCCAACGCCTTCCACCACACCAGGTAGCTCCGCTACCATGGTGGCACAATTTGGGATTCGTCTGGATCGAGCTACCTAAAATGAAATACCGTATATATACAGATGTACATACTACATGCAAATTCAATAGTTATGTGTGCGTTTGGGGCACATAGTCACATAGCATGTAGCCAAATTTGGTATGTGTCTTGGACATGCTTTGTTGACTTGAGCTGCACTGGTCGCAGGTGAGCTGCGTGACTCAACCTGGTCCGGTCGGGCTCTTCACCTTGCGCGCGTTGATGATCCCCATGCTGGTGTCACTTGGCGCCAAAACGCACACAGTGATCACAATGTATGACAGTGCACCTCGAGAGTCACGGTGAACCAGCGGCCCGGCGCTTGGCCTCTACAGGTCCATTGCTATAAACCCCATGGCGGCCTGCAATTCTCTTGACAGGGACTTCTGCTTGATGTTGGAAAACATTGGAAATTTTCCGCAGCAGTGATTTGTGGTTGGAGGCCATTGCTACTAGGTCGGGCCGTCGCTTTTAGGGTGGAGGCCATCGCTAGTAGGTTGGGGGCGGTCGCTATTAGGGTGGAGGCCATTGGGGGCCATCGCTATTAGACTCCTTAAGTGTTTTTTTATCTATTAGGGGGCGCCCTGATCCTGCCGCGGCTGCTTCTGCTGCTGCTGCTGTCTCTCACAGACCTTGGCACATGGTAGCTACCCATTTTTTTTGTGGAAGGGCATCCACCCTGAAGGGTGCTCAAATCCATTCAGGTCTTTTGGCGTGATTCGAGCACGGACGCTGCAAGAATAACTTCAAGCACCACACCATCGAGTGTTTTTGGGCGCTTTTAACTCACATGTTGTCAAAACTTGCTTGAGGAGAGGGGATGAGACATGATGAGACAACATAGGTACAACGTGGTATAACACTGCCATCGGTAATAATTTGGCCGATTTGCACGTGCCAATAGAGGGTTACACAGACCGAGGGTTGTTCCAAGCCAAGTTTGGTTGATGCCGCCCCGGTGTCATTGAGGCTCGTTGCGTTGGGGGTGCACCTTTGCTATCTCTTATGCACTCGCTCCAAGACCTTCCAGATGAGCAATTTGCTGAGGACAGCGCTTCCGCGGGCAAATTTGTGAGAGTGGGTACACATCCGGCAGAGGCACCCTGCAGCGGCGCCAGCGCCCAGGCTCCAAAGTGCGCAGGCACCTCTTGAAGTGAGAACCCCACTGGTTCTCGTTACCCGGTGAAAAACAAGTTAGGAGGTTGTCGGGTCCATTCCCGACGTCGCGAGGTACGTTGAGGTCGTTGGTTTAACGATCCGGTCCGACCGCGGCTCTCGAGTCTGAGAGTTAGAGTCCGTGACCATCCCTGACCCTGTTGGAGTCCGCCAGCTGTCGGCGTAGAGTCTTAGAGATTCTGTTGTTGTTGTTGCGTGTTGTTCAACCCATAGCCCTTCAGAAAAGGATTGACTTCGACATCAGCACATCGGCCCTTGGCAGGACCATCGGATCGATTGTTTTGGTCATTTTCATCATTCTTTTCTCAATGCTCTTGGCGCCTTATCAATGCAACGAACATCCCAACGGCAAAATGACCTTGAAGCGCTACAAGACCGTCTACTGCAACTTGTGGCCGTGCTCTAGAAGGTGTTTGCATGTGTTTGCCTTTTTTATGCGTGAACACTCCACCAGAAAAGGGCCACTAACTAATAGACAACAGTAACCTAGAGAACCTCTCGCTGCGGGCCCGTCCTTTTTATAGCTTCCTCATTTGTGGTACTTGGGCACCTGAAAACCCAGCCTTTGACCAAGGGATTTAGTGAGTCAAATTTATTGGGTTTGTGAGTGTTCTTCAATGAACACCACTGCAGTCAGGTCACCCCACTTCAAACCAGGACCTTGGTGACATGTTTTATAGTATGTAAGCCTGCCAATATTGTGTAATTATTTTTCAATAGTATATTTATAATACTATTTTAATTTTAAACTCCACACCGCCCTCCAAGTTGTTGGGTGCTGTGTTTCTTTGGAGTTCATGTGCTCGCGCACAACCATCCGCAACGAGATCTCTTCAATAAAATGGCAGCCCATGCTAGGAGCTTCGGGATCCTGTGTTGCTGAACCCTGGAAATCGTCTCCATTGTCCCAGATCGTTCACCTGCAAAAGATCCAATCCGGATCTCCTCACTTGCTTTCCGATTTCTTGAGGTAACGGAGCGGATGACCATTTGGCGATGCTCCTGATTGGCGGCTCCTGAGCTGTAAGAAGGCCCGACAGATGTCAGGCTGTGGAACCGTTTGGGGCCCGAACATTTTTTTCGCACCGACCTAGTCCTTCCCGGTGTACTGCAGAACGTTCCGCCAAACAAGGAAACCAAGAAATGGAATGGGAGCGGGAGGCTTCTTATTGATATGCTGGCTTGCTGTTTGGCGCGGTTTGCTCAGGTTTCGCTTGCTCGATGCCAATCATATTCCTAGTCGTTGTCACTTGGACCGTCATGCTGGAGCTGCCCCGACGGATTGCGAGGCGACTGCAGGAGGGTGGGTGGCGGGGAAGGTCCTTTTCGACCATTTGATGATGGGATGTTGCAGCAGGGTAGACTAGAAGGTCTTTGCACCTCAAGACCTAGGTATCCCGGTATCCCAATGTAGGATCCTGTCTCCATTGGAGAGGCCATGGCCAGTTCTAGGTCTAAAGGACCCAGAATCCTGATACATCATGGTGTAAAGTTTCGAGGGCTGCCTAGCGAAATCGTGTGGCGGTGTTGAGGCCCGCTTTAGGCTGGCCGTTGCACCGTTCATTGTCAACTCCTTGACGAACTGACTCACGTGGTTACAAGAGCATGGGGGTGGCCTGGATATGCGATGCTCATTGGGGACAAACATCTATACATAATTATCGTTTTTTGACAGAAGCGCGCAGAAAGACCTCCGATCACCTCCTTTCTCCGCCAGGTCCGATACTCAGTTTCTGGCTGCTTGCGGCTTCCTCATCAAGCGCTTTCGGCCGGGCATGGAGATGGCCTCAGTCTTCTTCTTGATCAGATGCTCGGGAAAGCCAAACCTGGCGAAAGAGAGAGACCAAGCCGAGCCTAGAACCTTCGAAACCCACGTCCGGCGAGAAACTTCTAGACGAATGAACCCTCCGGATTCAGTGCCGCCTACGGAGAAAGGATTCTTCAGATTGCATTAGTTCCCCTCGACACCAAAGTCCTTAACATATGCAGGGGATCGGATGCCTAAGGCATTAGTTCCAGCCTTTTAGGAACAATCATCATCAAGCATGCATCATGATTCATGATGGACAGCTGGCCCGATGTTGCTATGTACGTCATGTACCACTTACAAACACAAAAATATTTGTTTGTTCTTGATCATCCCGAGCCCCAAAACGGAACAGAAGTCGAGCTGGAAAGCAGGATGTACAGGGTCGTTGCCGCCTGAGGATGCAATGTTTTGATCAACCATTTTGGGGTCAACCCTTTGTGAGAGTGATCATCAGCCGTTTTGGGGAGTGGCTGCCTGGCATCTCTTGGGGTATTGCTGTGGCATCTCAGGAAACGCCTGCGTGGCCTTGTGCCCAGTAGTCTCCAACAGGCCTGGGCAGCTGCTGATGATGAGCACCGTGGATGCAAACCAGCGGACCCCAGAAACTGTGCGTGGGGTAGCATCCTAATTCCCCCCAACATGCTCAACCACACTCATAGCGTTTCATAGCAGCGATATCCAGATGGGCCCAGGAGTTGTGAGGATTGTCTAGCGCGGAGGTTCAGGGTTTTTGCGCTTATGTGTTTCATCCTGCGCGTGTTTTTGCCAATCACCGCAATGGTTTTAATGTGTTCCAAGCCACCTCTGA